CAAGTTGTCAAACCCATCTGAATGGAAGGCGGACCAACCAGAAACAAATTTCTCTGGTATGCTGTATCAGTACTTACTGGCTAAATAACCACCTGGCACGCTTGAAAATGTCTCCTGACCTACAAGTTCAGGAGTTTTTCTGATGTGCGTAACGAGGAGTGCAATTATTGAGTGGTAATGTATGGAAATCTTCATCATACAAGGTAATTTCTAGCTATTTCTAAAATGGTTGTGACATTTTGTACTTACACCATTTATACTTAATGAGAATTCCATTTTCAATGTGTGGCTTCCTCAGACTAGATTTTTCCTTATGTATGTGCATAATGTATCACTGTACTTTAAATGGAATTATCCTGAAAACTAATGAGGTTTAGCATCTCTTTATATGTTTCTTAACCATTTGGATTTCATCTAAAGTATCTGTTGAAGTGTTTTTCCTATATTTCCCTTATGCTGCTTTTCTTTGACCTCAGATTTGTATTATTTTTATTTATTTATTTTTTTAAAAGATTTTATTTATTTATTTGACAGAGACAGAGACAGCGAGAGCAGGAACACAAGCAGCGGGAGGGGAAGAGGGAGAAGCAGGCCTCCCCCCGAGGAGGGAGCCCGATGTGGGACTCGATCCCAGGACCCCGGGATCATGACCTGAGCCAAAGGCAGACGCTTAACGACTGAGCCACCCAGGCACCCAGATTTGTATTATTTTTGACACTAGTCTTTTTTTTTGTTTTTTGTATCAAATATCTTTTCTAATTTTTTTTTACTTTCCTTATCAATTTCTTTATGGTGTCTGAGGAACAGAAATCCTTATTTTTATGTAGTAGTATTTTCCTAATTTTCCTCCTGGATGGTGTGCCTTGTTTAAAAAATCTTTTCCTCTCCCAAGTTTATGAAGTTATTTTCCCATATTACCCTCTATATGTTTTATAAATTTGTCTTTCATGTTAGGTCTTTAAATTATATGGATTTTATCTTTGCAATTTGTGACAGGGTCCAGTAGCATTTATTTTTATGTTTTTCAATTGACTCAGGCTATTTAATTGCAAGTTCATGGTTTTTTGCAGACCTGCTTTATCTCCTCTGTTGTATATAAAGTCCATTTAGGGATAATTTTGTTCCATTGTCCCAATTTCTCCTGCATTGGCACTATATTCTTAATTTCTATACCTCTATAATAAGTCTTAATATCTGCTAGAAAGTGTTCTTATATTTTGTTCTTGCTTTTCAGTGGGCTCTTCCTTGGCCCTGGTGCTTCCTTGGCCCTTTTTATACTTGGCTTATCAAATTCCTCTCACATTTGAAAAATTTAATTGCATTGAATCAATGGATTTATGATTTGGGAAGAATTGTATATCACTACTATATTCAGTTTTTCAATCAATGAATGTTGTATTCAGCTCTTATTTAATATCTTAATAAAATTTTATTATTTTCTTTGTAGAGGTCTTGAACTTCTTTGTTAATTTATTCTTAGGCATTTGAAACTTTTTATGCTAATAAAAATCATTTCTTGAAATTTTCATTTTCTGATGATTTCTTGTTCACAGAGAAGAAATTTATTTCTGTGTAGTTTTTATAATTAGTAAACTTGACAAATTCTCTTACATATTTTAAAACAAATTGATTATTTTGGATTTTCTACACACAAAGTTGTATAATCTACAAATAATTATAGTTCTTTTCTTCTTTCCCACTTCTTACACCTTTACTTGTCTTTTTCTTCTCTTGCTTTGACACAATGGCTAGAAACTCTGGCAAAGGCATTGAAGAGAATGGTGACAATAGGCATACTTGCTTTTTTTCTGGTCTCAAAGGAAGAGCCTTCTATCCTTTCACCAGCAAAGTTTTTCTTGTTTGTTTGTTTGTTATTGGTAGATAACATTCAGCATATTTAAAAAGTATTCCTCCATTCCAAGTGTGCTATAAAGTTTTTGTTATGAATGGATTTTGAATTTTATCAAATATTACCCAGCATCTTATGATTTTTGTACCTTAGTATATTAATGTACTAGATTTCATTAATTCATTTTCCAACATTGAAACAATCTTGTGTACCTGGGATAATTCAACTTGATCATGATTCTTATCACTTTGATACGTTTCCAGATCTTTGAATCTTGGCATATACATTACTTTTTCCTACCTGTGAATGGTAAATTGGCCTTCTTTCTACTTTGATTACAATAGGTTTAATTTTATTGAACTTTTCTTCAAAGAATCAAATTGTTGGAAGGTCATTTTTTATTGAGTAATCCATGGAAATAATTCTTAATTTTTACAAATAATAAAATAAAAATATGATATAAAATAAAATAAAAAATGAAACTTTAAAAATAAAATTTTAATTTATTTGGAATTGTCATTTAAACGGAGGTAAAAATTTCAACACTTTGCCATCATACTTTTATTATTATGTTTTGATAGAAAACTATTTTGGTTCAATATGCTATCAAAGCTTTAAACTGTAGATGCGGGAATTTTTCAGCTCTTAAAGCCTAGATAATCAATAGTCAAATCATTAATCATCATCTAATTACCACCTTTTAGATCTGACATTATCTTCAAAAAATGTTCCAAGATATGTTTTACCTAAGAATGCTATTAAAAGTTTGCCATATTAGATAATATACTTGATACTCCACTTGATCTTAGCCAAAAGGCCAAGAAGCGATAACATATCAGATAAAAGTTGATCAAGCAGTGTCAATGCAATCCTAAATTTAGTTACTTTTAAAGAGATAAATAGAAAAATAAAAATTCAAGTTAAATAAATCTCCTATACTGTTTTAAGGTTAAGGAAATGATATATAACTTTCTTGCCATAGAGAGATGTTATCAAAGAATATAAGAAACATATAAGTTTACTCAAAGATGTCCTTGACTCATTAAGAAAGGTAAATTTGAGCATTAATAAGAATAATGGTTTCAATGAATTAAAACATATAAAATTTTGAATCACTAAATTCTTCTCCTGAAACCAGTATTATACTAGTCAACTAGAATTTAAATAAAAACTTGAAACAAAAAAGTAAAAAAAAAAAATATCACATTTTGTTTTCATCCTTGAGAGCAATGATAATAAAAATAAAAACAAAAGCTTATTGGTCATCTTTGGAGGATGATGGGGAACCATTTCTTATTTTGAAAAATGGTAGGTAAAGAAAAATTGTCCAACCTTTTCTGCCTTTATCCTAACTTTCCTATACAAACTATACGACTGGGTAATCAACTATTGGTTGAAGGGAAGTTTATCCCTTCATTGACTGAATTAGAATATCACCATTTTGTAACATTTAGTTAATTAATTGATCTATACTAGCCATTGAGCACCAGTGGCTGTAAACAGGACAAAATGAAAGACAGCCAGACATTATATACCTCCCAATGGAAGAATATAATGCCAGCCTTTGACCTTGAACATGAATCAGGTCAGGTCTGTAGGGCAAAAGACCTGTAGGGCAATACAGAGACAGAGGAACTTGTTAAGTACACTGTGAGTATGCAGTCAGCAAAAATCCAATTTGGTAGAAAGACCAGGTTTCTTCAAAAAGTAAGATTCACTGAAAAAGAAGGGGTTGGCAGGAGAATATGTAGACTAAAAGAAGCTTAGAAAACATTTTAAAAATAAAACAGGAAAACCACGGGAGTATTTGTTTACTAGGCAGATGTCAGTGATAACTCAGGAAGTAATTATCATAAATATCAGGATGGTGGTTGCATTTAGGGTTTGAGAGGGTGTTGTGAGAGGGAGGGGTAAAATGGAGGTCTTATGAGGTGACTGGCAAAGTTTAATTTCTTGACCTGGGTGGTGGTGACAAGAGTGTCTGACATATAATAATGGATTAAGCTATACACTTATTTAATTCTGTTTTCTGTGCTGGGTTTAAAATTTATTTTTTAAACTGGGTGAATGAATGTATTTATGATATAATTTTCAGAGAAGATGTTATGAAAAATTCTATTTCTATAATAAAGTATCAACTTATCAAGTTGGTAAACACAAGAAGTCAAAGTTGACATTTTCAATATTTATTGGGAAGGCTGAGGCAACAGCCTTTTTATACAGCACAGTCTGCATATGCTATCAAGATACATCTTGCATACAATCACAAAACCGAGACATATTTTTACATAGAGAAAAACTCAAGACAGATTTACAAGCATTTTTAATACAATTCTCATGTATTTCCGTTGAATTTCTACAACCTTTAGCCCAAGAACTGGTACTTGTTCATTAGATTTTTCCAGAGAGATTTGGGTAGAACAGAAAAGAACACATTAGCAAATCACCAACACGGCATGCAACATGTAGTTAGAAACAAGACATATCTCCAAGTTCTTTATTTTTTATTTTGAAATCAATTTTATTAGATTTTTATTTTTTCAGACAAGATTTTTTTTTCCCATTAATATCAGATGTGTTTTTGTTAGGATATTAGCACACACATTAATCAGTAGTGGGAGCACCTGAGCACATCACCAACAAATATATAGACACAATCAAACGATAATCATATTCACATGCTGAATGCCAAATGAAATTAATATTTCAACTTTGTCTGTTTTACCAAATGTATAGTAGTTATGTACAGGGTAACCATTTAAGAAAATGCTCTCGATCTACATATCAGATAAGGAATCATTTGATTAAATGACTTTGACTTAATGGGTACCTTTAATTATGACAACATGGAACATACAGAAAACATCAATGTGTCTTAGTCAATGAGAATATCTGTTTCACTCATTCATTTTTGTACTACATCAAAGGCAAGTAATTATTAAAGAGACGGCTCATAATTATTCATTGAGCTTTCTTTCACTTCCATGTCAAGCTCAAAAAGACGGAAACTCACTCTGTCACATGGAGAGTTATAAACATATATATAGCTGTAGTTGGCTGCTTTTGGAATATTAGACATTATAGCAATGAAAATAAGTTTTTAAAAATATTGTTAGTTATGATTTAAATAATAAAGTAAAAAAATACTATAAACATCTTTATGATATCTTAATGAAATGAAACATCAATCAAATAATTTCTAATAAATTGGGCACAATGTAGTATAGAATTTTATTTTGCTTCACATGACCACCAATCTAGTGTTAAACTACCACCAACACCACTATTGTTACGACCATTCCTATAGTAAGAATCAATATCAGCTGGTTACCAGCTATAATATTCCCACAATATGACTATTTTAATGTGTGTGATCCACAGAACTAATTTCACTGATACGCTGAAAATATGCATTTATTTGTATGATTACTTACAATATGGGCACATTAAGGAACAAAGACAATCACTGCTCCTTAGTCTTGCATACTGTTCTTTTCAACAGAAATGGTAAAGAAAGAGTTCCAAGTCACCAAAAATCTTCTTAATCTTAAGTAAAAACGGGGGGAAACACCAACTTCTTGCTTATACTGTTACCTATGTCTGTAATGACCATTCTACAAATCCCCATCTTCCGTAAAAATTCACTCTGTGCTTTTGCTTCTACAGCTAGAAGTTTCTTTAGGACCAAATTTTGAACCAAGAAGCAACTCCAGTTTCTGATGACTCAATGAAGTTGTGGGGAAAATTAAGATGCTTTTCGAGATATAGGTGTTGGAATTGGACTGATTGCATATTGTTTAGAGATTACAAACTTTGTCATCAGTAAGATTAAGAAAAAAACTGCTTCCAAAAAATAAAAGAAAGGAAAAAGTGGAAAATTATGTGCCGTGATATATACAAAAAAGTAAAAAACACCAAGAGCCCTATTTGCAATTAAAAAAGAAACAACTTTGTTGTAAGAAGGGTAATCGACATCATTCAGAAGAAATGCGTTTGTTCGAGGATTAGTGTTGCATAGAATATTTCCCGTACAACTTAGGATTTTGGTCAGCTGCAAACTTGGCACACTGTGGCAGGATCTTATGCTCTCTGAAGGGGGATGCTGGTGCACAAAAAAGAAGCCCTATCGTTAGCTCTCTTGATTGACCTGGCCCCATCATCACTGGTTCCTCGGAACAAAGGGGCACCTAGAATGGAGAGACTCCTACCCTTTCAGGTCAAATAGCTACCAAGGGATGATCTTTGTTTTGGTGGCACCTCATTTGTGTTATTCTAAAAGAAATCGCAACTGGAATAAAGTCAAACTTACTGGTCATACAACCTCTCATCCATACCCCTGGATGTACGTGGTTGCAGAAGAGGGCCTAAGGTGAGCTAGAGTTTCCTTTGAAGGGCAAATAGCAGAACCTTTTTTGTTCAGAAAGAGATCTTCCGAAGCCTTTCCTTTCCCAACGATGAGTGATGATTACAAGCTCCCTAAAGTGCTCACTTCTGCTGGAAATATCCATAGCAACCATCAGCAGATCTAGATGTCTCTAAAAATAAAATCCTAGCAGGATCAAGTCTCCAGCAATCCCTTCCCTCATGCTTGTTGTAGAGCAGTATCAGTGGTGAAGGACACTGCATTATCAGGGAGGACAGGTAAAAAAATAGAGGGAAGGAAAGGAACTGCTTTCTCCTTGGATTGGGGAAGAGTGCATGTGTATTTCTTTATGAATGTAATAAAGATATATAGCCTGGAATTTATTAGAGATTGTTTTATTTTTAATGTTTTACATTTAATCAATTCCTCTCAAATTTAAATTATGTTTTTCTTTAAAAGTGAGAAAATTCCATATCCAACCAACATATTTGGAGGTGATTTCTCAAAACCCACTAAAACCTCATCTTTGAATGAAGAAGCAGCTTTTAAACTCAGAATGCTCTGGGGCGCAATTTATTTTGGCAGAGGATATGCGAATAGTGTAAGATTGGTATGATTCATTTCATTTATAATAACCCAATTTGAAAATCATTTCGATTTAATTCTTCACCTTTTCTCAGGTTCAATGCAAGTTTGTATTTTAAAGAAAAACCATTAGTTTTGGAGTGAATACACTACTCTTATCCAAGTCAATGTCTACCGTCGGTATGGAGGATGTTCTTGCATATAAAATTTGAGAAATAAAGAGCTGCATAGTAATTATTCCTCACTTTATGTATAAAACTATATCTGAAAATGTGCTTTCTTTTTTTCCTCACAGTTCACTTGGCTTGATCATCCCAACATCCCATTAGGAAGGGTAGGAATATGTAATTATTTTTATCCTACAAATAAGAAACTGAGGGAAAGTGACTTTAAGTGACATGTGCAAGGTGACACAGTTAGTCAGTGGCAGGACCAAGACAGAAGCCAAGCTTTTTATCCCAGCTGAGTGCATTTCCTACAACTCCATTCTACTGCCTTTGTCTATAGTGTTGGTCGATGGAGAAGAGGATGCTTCATTTCAATGACTTGGACATTGGTCCTTTTATTCCGTATTAATAAAATAGCTCAGGTTAATATAATCTCAATATAATGTTGACTTTTCACCTATTTTCTCAATATTGATGACCTTGATCACTGCAATATTGTCACTAACAGAGAAAAATGGAGCACTAGGAAGAACTTGAGTCTGGTGTCAGGGTTTTCATTATACAATCAGTTAATGCGCTAAGGACAAAAAAAGCATTATGGAAGAGCAGGAAATGACACCAAGTGAATTAATCCATGTCAGGGATTAATATAATTTGTTTGCCAGAGAAAGAATTTTCTTTCTTTCAATACCCCACTCAAGAGAAATGAAATATGTGGAATAACATTTATTTGCAATTCCACAAAGAACAACTTATCAGGCTTCCTGGAACATACCATTTTAATCTATGTTCTTTGGTATGTACATTGAAAATGTATTGGCTTAATGGTCACTTAAGGAAATTTTGATGTTTTCAACCAAGGGTCCAATATTTTTTGGGGCAACATTCAGTGCAAGCCAATCATGGCTTTATTTCTAGATAAATGTAATTCCATTTCCATTTAGTATTATCTTCGCTCTACATCATTTCATATTATACAAATGTGCTTGTAGGACATGAATTCCAAAGTTGGCGATGCTCACGCTTATAACATCTAGACAGAGAGAAAACCTAAAAGCCATAATTTCTCCATCTCCAGTACCCTTTCCCTCTGAACACAACCACCTCAGTTCTAGTCTTGAACGCATACTGTAGTTGTATCCTATGTCACAATCTAAAAACAGTAAGTCGTCTGAGAGAAGAAGATGAAGAAGAAAGATCTTTAGACTCCTGAAAACTGAGACTTGTTACATCACTTCTTTCCTTTCAGGCAAGGCTGTCTTGCATAAATGATCAACTTTGTCTTGCATGAGGAACCATATTAATATTTGAGCAGCTGCCTTTAGCTATAGTTCAACTCTGCTCAAAGGTTTGTGCATTAAGTAATCAAAATAGCTCTCGCTGTTTTTCTTGAAGCAATCCAAGGACTCAAAGCTCTTTTTTTTTTTTTTTTTTGGTCTCCAATATATGAACTTCTTCATTTGAGTTTTTTTCTGTGTTCCACAACAAAACATTCACGAAGCTTTAAGTATGTGTTTGCCTGTTGTTCCTCCTCTCACGTTTACCCCTTTAAAAACATTGTAGAATAGTATCCAACTCTAGTCTTGATTTGAAATTATTTAGAGCAGTTTCTATACCCTGAGCAGACACATTTCTTCAGTGGGTTTGTGTAGGACTGACCAAAAGTTTGTGCCAGTTGACTATTCTTTTTCTGAGATCCACTTTGTCAAGCCAGATACAGGCTTCGCCAATCAAGGTCTTTTTCATAAACTTCCCTCCATTAGAGAAAAGTAAAATCTAGAAAAAATAGCCAAAATTATATATACTTGCATATATTTTTCAACCTTTTTTAAAGGACATTTGATCATCAAAGAAATAACACAGACAAGAAAGGGTGAGGGGAAGTACCAGCTATACGTATAAGAAAACTAATCCTCAAGATGTCCTCAAAAGATGTGCAGAATATTAATTAATTCACACCAGCATCTCCCAAAGGAAAAGACACATCCTGGAGGATATGAGAATTTTAGATGACATGTATTAGCAGCTAATTCTGACTAGGTTTATGCTTACACGAATGGAAAGTTTCTCTAAAGAACTTTGCTAGGTACATTTTCTACTAGTTTATGAAATATTAACTCAAATACGAAATTATTTGAGTGCTGAATAAATAAGTAAGAGCTCACGAGGCAGATAAAACACAACATTAATTTTATTTAACATTCAGTTACTGGTGATTTTACTATGCTATGTACTTCCAAAGTGATTTCTTGTCATATGTAGAACTTATGTTAGTTGAAATGCCATAGGATTTCAGACTCAAGACATTTTTTTTTTTTTCTCTTTTAGAGAGGAGTTGAAAGAAAGGTGGAGAGCATTAGTGGTGCTAACCATGAATCCCTGACAATTCTTTTTTGCTCTCTCTCTTTTCAGAATCTCCTTTAGAAAATTCATCTTCCTTCTTGGCTAAAACCTTACTTTTAGGTTTCTGACTTCAAAATCTACATTTCTAGTTATAACTATCTCTTCTGGCCTCTGGTTTTGGGGTTTCAGATGTATTGTAGATTTTCACTTGGATCCTGCTTTCTTATCAAATGTATCACATTTCAAACAAATGTGTGATCTTTCTCCCTCGCTGTCCCCTCTCTAACTACTTAATCTCTGTGGATGACACATCTGTTCACACAGATTGCAGGGCATCCTTTTAGCTTTTTTTTTTTTTAATTTCTACTCTAATGTCTGTCAGTACTCTCAGTACAGTTTTAGCTTGGTAATACTCTTATATTTGTCTTTAGTGTAGGCCCTTATGTGCCGATATCATGGTCTCACTCTTCCCATATTTTTTCATCTCTTTCCTCCTGCCTCCTTTTCCCTCTTTCATTCCTTGTCCCTACATCTACTGAAGACACACTATGTACCAGGATTGTATGAGGCTGTAGAACAAAGAACAATACAAGCCAGGCCCTGCCCTAGAGAAGAGGAAGGTATGGAAGCAGTGACAGGTAAGGGCTGAGTTTACATTGAAAGATTGTGGACCAGTGGGATGGGTGGAGAGACATGAGGAAGACGATATTGAAGGGGAAGAAAAATAGGAGCACAACATTGGAGGCTTAACCTGATTTGAAAAGACTGTGGTGTGGCTGGAGCATAGAGTGTGCTGGGAAGTATACACAGAGATGAGATTAAATCAGTACAATTAGAGCTCACCTTAGAGGACTATGAATGAGGCAGGATGTCGGTGAGTCACTGAAGGGCTTTAATGAACCTGCTAGTCAGTGTT